TTATAGTGGGGTAGAGATGTATCTATATACTAAACCTTCAGTGATGGCAACAGAAACTGCATGTGTAGATCAAGTGTAGTATATGTCCCTCTGTTCGATTTATTTCTGTTCACAAAACTACTGAATCAGCACTAAATACATGTGCATAATACTGAACTGCATTTGCAGCCATTCTATCTCTGTATTGTTTTTACAAAACCAACATTTTGCCCTCACTTACATCCCATATAACTTCACTGACTTCAGTGAGGTTACACAGGGTAAAAGTTAGGGCAGAATTTGGCACAAAATAAATACTGCTTCATGGCATTTTTAAGGCCAGACTTAATGCTTGCCTCTTATTCTCTTTCTACCAAGCAGCCTCCTTGAGATCCTTCCTCAAAGAATATGTCTTGTGTGAAACTTCTGGTGCTGATTTTTCTCACCAATTATGTCTAAATGTCTCTCTCTCTCTCTCTCCTAATTTTAAAAGTAATGCTATTGCAAGTTCATTTTTCCTTATTTTTATTTAACTACACCTCTACCCCGATATAACGTGACCCAATATAACAAGAATTCGGATATAACGCGGTAAAGCAGTGCTCCGGGGGGTGGAGGGGGGGCAGGGTTGTGCACTCCGGTGGATCAAAGCAAGTTCGATATAACGCAGTTTCACCTATAACGCGGTAAGATTTTTTGGCTCCCGAGGACAGCGTTATATCAAGGTAGAGGTGTATCATATGCTGTTTAAAAATAAATTACACTCTTTGCCCCCCAAATTGGTTATCCTTGTGTTCAGGTTAAAGAAAATGAAATAATAACAATTCATGTTGCTACACTTTCTCCAATATTTGTCTTTTGAGTCATAAATCGGGCCTACTATGGAAGAAGAGACATTTGTCTAATAAGGTAATTTTAAATAATGATGCCTTACATGGTAACACAGGCTCTTATTCTGCAAGCATGAAAAAATTTGTTCATGTGAATAACCCATTGACTTAAAAAAGCCTTCTGCAGCAAGCTTATGCCAAATATATAAAAGGAGGCTGTAGCTAGCAGAATACGAGACAAAGGTTTTTTGCACAGTGAAAATTAGGATGATCAGATAGCAAGTGTGAAAAATTGGGACAGGGATGGGGGATAATAGACACCTATATAAGGCAAAACCCTGAATCAGGTCTGTCCCTATAAAATTGGGACATCTGTCCCTAGTCAAAATACGTTATTGTTAGGCAAATATTACAAAAGCAAATTATCTGAAACACAGTGGGAACAATTCTGCAAACACTTTCATGTAAGTTGTCCCAGCGACCAAGAGGCCATTCAGGCTAACAGCAGACTCTCAGAAGCATGAAAAGAGAATTTCAAATTTTGGGTCTGATTATCCACTGCCTTCAGCTTGTACAGTCATTATATGGGTGCAAAGTGAGCATAGAATGCCAGCATTCTGATTTGGTAATGTGCACAGGGGTAAATGACTACACGAGGTGCAAGACAGGGGAGAAATAGGCCCTGGGCTGTTGACATCTTATGTTACATTCTCATGTCTTATTGTCTTTATCCAAACTTGTAATAGGAATAAACTTTATAAAACATGATACTTGAATATTTCTCCAGGACATATACTACTTGACCCCTAATTCTCCCAGAGTGACCACCTCACAGTGTCAACACTCCATGCCCAGTAGAAGCAAAGAAAAATACTAACTTCTCTATTCCTACTCCTTTTTACTTTATGTTGCATTAGTTTTCCTTTGAGGATTACTATTTGAGATTGTGCTGGTCACACCTTGACCTGATTATTGTTCTCAGTATTTGTATATTTAGGACTTGGAGACATCCTGGGCTGACTTATTGTCTGCAGTAAAAGAACAATGTGCCGATTTGTATTGATTTTAGTTGAATTTAGGGATGAATGTGGTCCATCCTTTGCAGTAAGGTGGCTGTCCACTCCTATTCTAAGGTCTTTTTATTTTGTTGCAGGTGATTAATTAGTGGTTGGGGACAGGTCTACAATACACAAAGCTGAAATTAGGGCTTCAGAATGGTCTTCAGTGACTTTTCATGCCCCTGACTGCTGTAGCTATGCCGACCTAATCCCCAGCATAGACAGCAATATCAATAGACAAATGTTCCATCAAAGTAGCTAACTTTGTCTGGATAGGTGGTGTTCCTACACTGATGGGAAAAACCCCTTCCATCTACACTATGATGTTATCTTGGCAAAGTTGTGCCGGCACAGCTATGCTGGTATAGTCTGTGTAGTGTGGATACAGCTGAAGAGGGTTTTCTTTATCATTTATGTTTTTATGTGGGGGCCCTGATAGTGATAGTTCATGTG